TGGGTGTTCTATGGAAACCAACTTGACAATAAACTATTTGTAAAAAATAAAAAAAAAATTAAAAAAGAAGCATAAAAAATAAATAAATAAAAGAAAATAAAAGAAAAAAAATGGGTACCATGGAAGACTTTATGTTACATGTATTTTACCACAATTAAAAAACTTTTTTAAAGAAAGTCAAACAGAAGAATATGGTTTTATCTTACTTGTAATGGTAAGTGTAATAACATATTACTGCATGCTTATAATTTTGTGGGGTTTTTTAAAATTTATTTTGAGAGAGAGCACAAGTGAGGGAGGGTCAGAGAGCGAGAGAGGGAGAGTCACAGCAGGTTCCATTCGGTCAGCCCAGAGCCTGACACGGGGCTCGAACCCACAAACAGTGAGGTCATGACCTGAGCCGAAATCGAGTCAGATGCCCAACCGACTGAGCCACCCAGGCGCCCCTGTGTGCTTATAATTGTGCACATGCACAGAAGGCTGCAGGCATTGCGTGCATGCACGGGGGGCTGCACGGGGGCCATCTCAGGGAGGCAGTGAGAGGAGCGAATGTGGGCAGAGCTCCTGCCAGAGGGCACAGCGCCCGGTCCGGGAGCCTCGAGGTAACTCTGTGGCTCTTCGTGGCATCTGCTCATGAGGCAAGGGCAGGATGGCACCTCCCTGGCCCTTGGAGCACTTGCCTGTGCGGCGGCCACAAAGGTGAGCCTCACCGGCATCCCGGGGCCGAGTGTGCATCTGGGCAGGCGTCGGGGGTGGGCAGCCGTGGGCAAGGCGGGCACTGCCCTGCACCCAGACATGCGACTGGTCCCCATGCACACAGGCCCTTGGAGAGGCACCAGCTCCAGGAAGCCGGCCGCCCTTGCCCACAGCCCCAGCCCTCCCCGCCAGGCCTCCCCACACAGCGGCTGCCAACCGCACCCCTGGGAGACGCGCCTGGTACCAGGCCGGCTTCGCGACAAGCAGGGAACCGTCTCCTCGCGTCATCGGGAAAGAGGGGCCTGCCTGTCTCTTCAGAAGGCAGGGGCCCCACCCCGATGCCGGCCCCAAACCCAAACGGCCTCCCCAGCAAAGACCCTCTTCACGTTGCCGTTTGCTCCCCGCTGGCGGCGAACCGCCCTGCGGCCTGCGCGGGGCGCCCTGCTCAGCTCCAAGCCCAAGTCGCGGCCCCACCGCGTCACCCTCAGCAAAATCGTCCTCCCCGCTGGTCACTAGTGTCTGGCGGCGCGCGGCCTGTCCACGCCCAGCGTGACCCGGGCTGCTCCAGAGACCCGGCCTGCACCTGTCCCGGCTCAGCAAGGCGGGCCTCGGGCCGCCCGCAGCCACCCCTGCCGCACCCCTCCGCCTGTTTCCCAGGAGCCCCCGCGCTCCCCAGAGACGCCCCTCACCACCTCCGGAAGGGCCCCCCAAGCCCTGGGGACCCACCTGCTCCCCCTGGGCGCTCGGGTTCTCTGCCCCCCACCCTCCCCCCGCATCCCTGCGCTCGGGTTCTCTGCCCCCACCCCCCGCATCCCTGCGCTCGGGTTCTCTGCCCCCACCCCCCGCATCCCTGCGCTCGGGTTCTCTGCCCCCCCCCCGCCCCCCGCATCCCTGAGCTCGGGTTCTCTGCCCCCACCCCCGCATCCCTGCGCTCCTACTGACAGCAGGCTCCCTCTCTGAGCCCCTGCAGACGGGCCTCGCAGCACAAGGGAGCTCGGCGGCCCCTCCCGCTGCAGCGTGGGCGGTGGGGCCACGATCCTGGCACGAAGCTGGCAGTCCCGGGCAGGCCTCCCCTGGCTGCGCCCCAGCTAGGCTCCCACTCCCTCAGGGGCGCCTGAGACGGCTCCTTCCCCCGTCCAGCCCCCGCGCGTGCCTGCTGATGGCTCCCCAGCCACCCGCTCCACACGCAGGGCCCCTGCAGGCGGGGGCCCAAGCCCGCCGGGACGCTCACCCCTGCCCTCGCCATGTCCCACGCGCTGCGCTCTCAGTCGGGCAAAGTCCTGCTCTTACCACCCACCTGCCCCCCGCAGCCTCGCCGCAGGTGTGCGCGCACGTGCCTGCTGCCCCTGAGCGCACGTTCTCCCACATTCTAGAAGCACCACTTTACCGGGTGTTTCCTGCTGGCTGGCACCTGCCGCACCTTCCCACCTTCGCCATTTCTACATCTAACTTTGTCCTGTCCCCGCGCCTCCCATATGCCCGCTGCTCTCTACCCTCTGGGGCAGCAGAGTCTTGGACTCAGACACGGCCCCCGGCTTCTGATCCGGGCCCTTCTCCTCACTTGTGTGGGAGTTGGTGCAAGTTTAGAGCATGCCTCAGTTTCCCCATCTGTAAAATGGGAACGACAGTTCCTACTTCACAAGGTTGTTTAGGGGTCACTGAGTTAACATGTACAAATTTGCGGGGCGCCTGAGGGGCTCAGTCAGTTAAGCGTCCGACTTCGGCTCAGGTCGTGATCTCACGGTTCGTGGGTTTGAGCCCCGCATCGGGCTCTGTGCTGACAACTCAGAGCCTGGAGCTGCTTCAGATTCTGTGTCTCCCTCGCTCTCTGCCCTCCCCTGCTTGTGCTCTGCCTCTTTCACAAATAAACATTTTTTTTTTAAATGTACAAAGTCGCTTGGAATAGTTGCAGGCACAGAAGACCTATGACACATGTGTTTGCAAACACACCAAAAATAAATACGGTTCCAAAGCTATTTATTAGTTGATGGATTCAGGACACAATTATTTCCCCCAAAGAAAGACAATAAGAAAAAAAATGCATATGATTTCCCCGAGTGTTGAGAAGCACGGGGTGTCATAGTGAGAAAGAAGCCCTAGAGGGATGCTGGGAGCAGAGGGCGGCTGTCAGGGACTCCTGACCTGCGTCATTCCCGGGCCCAGCGACCTGCCGCGTGGCCGCCGCCTTGGGGGCCCCGCTCCAACAACAACAAGGAGATGGGCCTCGTGATGAACAGCTCACAGCCCTGGGCTGCATATAAGCCCCAAACACCCGAGCACCCAGCACGCACACACACTCACCCACACACTCACACACTCACACGCACCCTCCTCCACCCCCCCGCCCCCACCATGGCCGCGTCCACCCTGTCCGTCTGCTCCAGCGACCTGAGCTACGGCAGCCGCGTCTGCCTGCCCGGAACCCCTGACTCCTGCCCCGGCTCCTCCTGGCAGGGGGGCGACTGCCCAGAGAGCTGCTGCGAGCCCCCCTGCTGCGCCCCCAGCTGCTGCACCCCCGCCCCCTGCCTGACCCTCCTCTGCACCCCTGCGAGCTGCGTGTGCAGCCCGTGCCAGCCAGCCTGCACCAGCTCCTGCGGCACCTCCTCCCCCTGCCAGGGAGCCTGCTGCACCCCTGTCTGCTGCACCCCTGTGTGCTGCAAGCCCGTCTGCTGCACCCCTGTCTGCTGCACCCCTGTGTGCTGCAAGCCCGTCTGCTGCACCCCTGTCTGCTGCACCCCTGTGTGCTGCAAGCCCGTCTGCTGCACCCCTGTGTGCTGCACCCCTGTGTGCTGCAAGCCCGTCTGCTGCACCCCTGTCTGCTGCAAGCCCGTCTGCTGCACCCCTGTGTGCTCCGGGTCCACCCCCTGCTGCCAGCCCAGCCCCTGCTGCAGACCCCCCTCCTCCATGTCCCTGCTCTGCCGCCCCGTGTGCAAGCCCGCCTGCTGCGCCCCTGCCTCCTGCTGCTGCGCCCCTGCCTCCTGCTGCCGCCCGGCCCCCTGCGTGTCCCTGCTCTGCCGCCCCGCGTGCCCCCGCCCCGCCTGCTGCGGCCAGTGATGGGGCCAAGTGTCACTGTGGGGACCCCACTCCCCCAGTACCAGCCTCCCAGCTGTTTTGGGGTCTGTCTCTTAGGCCTGTGAAGTATAGACAGCACCCCCTCCTCTCAGGCGGTGGGGGGTACCCTTCAAACTCAGAATGACCCTTCCCACCCCCACTGCCACCCTCCTCCCGGGGTCCCAGTGGTCATGCCTTGGGACTATGTCCACAGCACAAGCCACAGTGGTCTCCCCTCCCTGGAAGCTGCCTGGATAAACCTAATAAACGTGGCTTACAGTAACCCGGCGTCACCTGGTTCTCTTTGGGCCGGTTCTAGTTAAACTGCCTTTCTGTCCCCACAGAGGTGGGGGGCGGGGCGGTCCTCAGCCACACCAGCCCTCCCTCAGGGCCCCGCCCCTCACAGTCCCAGGCGTGGCGGCCGTGGCCGAGGCCCTCTGGGGGGGGGCTTCCTCAGGACCCGGTGGCAGCCAGTCGTGGGCACAGTAACCCTGGGCAACTCTCCCACCGCAGGGAGCCCAGCAGGACACGGGGTCCGGCATACGCTGGGGAGGATGTGGGGGTGCAGGGGTCCAGCAGCACCCCCCATGGCCGCCCGAGCCCTCCTGCCCCTCCTTCCTTGTCCAGCATCTGAAACCCTCCTGCCTCTGGAGCTGTGCGCTCAGACCGCACACGCAGGGCCGGACGCCGCTTCCCTCTGCAGCGATGGTTAGAACACAGCCCGTGTCCCCTCCCCAGCAGAGCCTCCTGCCCCCAGTGACCTCCTTCTGCACATGCTCCACCGAGACACCCTTCCCTCCACGCTCCCAGCCCCCAGCCCCTGACCCAGCCTGTCCAGCCACCAAAGGTCCCTGTGCTCCCGTCACCTCACTTGTGCCCCCTCTCCTGTGCACCTGTCCCCGCAGAGCTGGCCCCGGCCTCCAGGTCACAGCTCTGACTTCTCCAGCCCCCACCCCCAACTCCATCCCCCTGCACCTTGGCTCTCTGTCCGGACACGTCCAGCCTCTCCTGGGCTCCAGGCCACATGTGCACCTCCAGATGTGCCCCCCCAGGACCTGCAGAAGTTGAGCTTAGGCTCTTCTGAGCTGAACTAGCACCTTCCAGGGGGATGGGGCCTCTGCTGTGGCCTTCCCATCCCTACCCCCACCCCCAGCCCGGCTATGGTCCTCCTAGGCAGGGCCTTCAGGGTCTATGCCTGCCTCTCTTTCCCTAGTTCTGGCAACTGGTCCCTTGTTTGCTAAATGACACTGGGCAGGTAAGATGGGGACCCCATAGCTGCAATGGGGCCAGGCCCAGGACGAGAGGCCCCCTGCTTGGGGGACCCCCGCCGCTCGTGCGCATCCCTCTATAGGTAGAAGAGGCCGCCCTTGCAGGAAGACGATGGGGACTCCAGGACTCCGAGAAGACCCTGCCTCCCAGGGCCCGGCCTCACCGCGACGGCCAGGGCAGGCGGGGGAGCCCCCGGCGCCGAGGGCAGTGTGGTCCGTCCCCTCCCCGGAGCCCTGCGGTGCGGACCTGGCAGGTCTGTGCGGGAAGAGCCAGCACGGACCCCCTGGGCCCCCCAGGGAGCGCAGGCCTGTGCAGGGGGCTCTGCACGGGCCTGTGCACGGTCTCCCGTGAGAGGAAGCCCCAGCGGGTGCTGGACAAGGCCGTCCAGTTCAGCCGGACCGATGTCCCGGAAACCCAGGCTGTGAACCTTACCACAGGGCTGGGCGGTGACTGCCCTCTCGGACCTGAAGCCCCAGGCCCTGCTGTGCACCTTCCCGCCAAACTCACATGCCTGACAGCAGCTGAGAACTTTCTAGCTGATTACACCATGACTTTTCTAGGCTTAGTGGATACTTGGGTCACATGTATATCACATGGCGGATAAAACCAGTATGAGCGGCCCCCCTTTGTGACGCATTTTGTGAGCTGCAGGCACCTGCCGTGTTTAAATCACACAGTCCTCAGCTGACCCAGTGACATGGGTCCCTAGGAGCCCATCTTGCCACAGAGGGGACAGAGGCCCACAGAGTGCCTGGCTGACGCGGTACAAACCCCAGCCGTGGTGGGCAGTGGGCAGGGCAGGTAAGACATGGGCGTGTTTGCAGGGACACGGCCATATGCCACCTAATGTTCCCAAAGCCAGCTTCCGCACAGTCCCCAAGTGCCCTTGACCTTGTATGGAAAAAAGGACTTCGCGGGGTAACTGCGGATGGCTGACTAAATGCAGAATCCCGCGGCGGGCAGGCGGTTCCGGGCCAGCGGCGCGGGCCCTAGACGTGGGCACAGGGGTCCTAACACCGGAGAGGCAGACAAGGAGGTGATGTGACCGGAGGCAGAGCTCGGAACGCTGTGGCCACGAGCCGGGGGGCCGGAGTCACCACGCTGGAAAGCGCAGGAGACACCCTCCTCGGGAGTCTCCGGAGGGGGAGCCGCCCCGCCCACGCCCCGCCCACGCCCCGCCCACGCCCTCCACGCCCCGCCCACTCACCCCACGCCCGGCCCCATGCCCCGCCCACTCCTTCCACGGCCCGCCCCATGCCCCGCCCACACCCCCAGATCTCTGCTCAGTAGACCTGCTTTCGGAACTCTGGTCTCCAGAACTGAGAAAAGAAATTTCTGTTGCTTTAAAGCATCAAGAAGGTGCTCATTTGTAGGGGCGCCTGAGGGGCTCAGTCGGTTAAACGTCCGACTTCGGCTCAGGTCATGATCTCATGGTTCGTGAGTTCGAGTCCTGCGTGGGGCTCTGTGCTGGCAGCTCGGAGCCTGGAGCTGCTTCCGATTCTGTGTCTCCCTCTCTGCCCCTCCCCTGCTCATGCTCTGTCTCTCTTACTCTCAAAAATAAATTAAACATTAATAAAAAATAAAAGAGTGTGATCATTTGCTACAGTCAGCCCCAGGAAGCAAGTGTATGCATGATCGAGATCAGGTTTGTGTGATAAACACAGCTTTCGGTTTGAAATGTCACTGAGATGGGGGCTCCTGGGTGGCTCAGTGGGTTAAGTGTCTGACTTCAGCTCAGGTCATGATCTCACTATTCGTGAGTTCGAGCCGGGGTTCTGTGCTGACACTCAGAGCCTAGAGCCTGCTTCAGATTCTGTCTCCCTCTCTCTCTGCTCCTGCCTCACTCATGCTCTGTCTCTGTCTCTCAAAAATAAATAAACATTTTAAAAAATGTTTTAAAAATGTTACTGAGACAATATAAAATAACAGTAATGATTCAAAAAACAAAATAAACCCTCAGTCCTCTAAGGTGTCTGGTCCAGCCACCCCCAAACCTGGAAGATGATGCTCAAATCCAGTCACGTCCAGTCACGTGTGCGTGGCCTCGAGAGTTGGCCCGCGCTCCCGACACCCCAGACCCCTCGCACAGCAACTGCACCCCTGCACAGAACCTCTGACGCTGGCCAGGCTGACGCCTTGAGCCCCCACAGGCCCCCTGACACCTGTTACCTGCCTGTGTCTTCCCTCCCCTCCTCCCGCAGAGGCCCCGGCCCTGGTCCCAGCCCAGCCCCTGGCAGTGCCTGGTACAAGATCTCATAGTGACTGTTTCCTGGACCCTGAATATCCCACGGGATGCCCCCTGGGCCCACAGATGGGACTGCAGGCTCAGCCCCAGGAAAGTGGGTTCTCTCCGGGAGAATGAGCAACCTAGGGAGGCAGAGGAAGGGGCAGGAGGAAACCCAACCACCTGCTCAGCAAGCAGAGGGCATGCGAAACCGACCCACAGCCCAGCCACGGGAGGTGAGGGGCAGCCACATGCCACACTCCACCATGCCCACCATGTGGCCAGAGCCACAGGGGCCCTGGGAGCCCAGAGGTTAGAAAGGAGATGTGCCCGGAGCATTCTGGTGGCTGCCTGGCCAGCCACAGGCCCACCCCTCCCACTGCCCATGAACATGACCCCCACAGCACAAAGCCAGTTCGTCCCCAGGCCACAGCCACGGCCTTCCACCTAGGCAGTGGTTCAAGGCAGAGAGAGCCCACACTAACCACGGCCAGGGCCCTGCAGGCATCTCCACACTCCCTTCACCTGTTTGCTCTTGGTGACAAATGCAAAAGAATGGGGACCACAGGCTCCAGAGACGGGCACCCACATCAGGAGCCATTCCTGAGGCCAGAATCCAGGCCCCTCCCCCGTTACCACATCCCTAAGATGAGTGTCCAGTGGCTGAGAGCCCCCTCCCCCACATCCACACGATGGCCCCATGCCCACTCAGCAGACGCGTTCAGGACCCAGCACATGGGTGGGACTTTCACCTGCTGGTGGCATCTTCCAGGAAAATAAACAAGCCTAATGAGGGGTCCCTGAAAACTAGCTCCAAACACCAACAAGGAAGGGGATACGATCTGAGTCTCTGCTGGGAAAACACACACCACAGAGAAGGGCTATAAAAGCCAGCCGAACACCTGGCATGCACACACACTCACACTCACTCACACGCACCCTCCTCCAGCCCCCCACCCCCACCATGGCCGCGTCCACCCTGTCCGTCTGCCCCAGCGACCTGAGCTACGGCAGCCGCGTCTGCCTGCCCGGGGCCCCTGACTCCTGCCCTGACTTCTCCTGGCAGGGGGGCGACTGCCCAGAGAGCTGCTGCGAGCCCCCCTGCTGCGCCCCCAGCTGCTGCACCCCCGCCCCCTGCCTGACCCTCCTCTGCACCCCTGCGAGCTGCATGTGCAGCCCGTGCCAGTCAGCCTGCACCAGCTCCTGCGGCACCTCCTCCCCCTGCCAGGGAGCCCGCTGCACCCCTGTGTGCTGCAAGCCCATGTGCTGCACCCCTGTGTGCTGCAAGCCCGTCTGCTGCACCCCTGTGTGCTCCAGGTCCACCCCCTGCTGCCAGCCCAGCCCCTGCTGCAGACCCCCCTCCTCCATGTCCCTGCTCTGCCGCCCCGTGTGCAAGCCCGCCTGCTGCGCCCCTGCCTCCTGCTGCCGCCCAGCCCCCTGCGTGTCCCTGCTCTGCCGCCCCGCGTGCCCCCGCCCCGCCTGCTAAGACCATCATTCTGATGGGCACACTCCCCCCAGGGCCAGCTGAGCACTGTGGGGACCCCCAGCTCTTCCCCGCCTCCTTCAGGATCTAGCGCAGCACAATCTGGGCACCCGTGTCTGCGTGAATGCTCACCATCTTGGGACCCTAATAACCGGGGCTGAGCCTGTCTGCAGCCTCACAGCGCGACCAGATGGACGGGAGACAGTCCCCCCGAACCCCGCCCCGTTACCGAGAGGCCCCCAGGCTGTCTCTGGCAGCCACTGCCCCAGCCCCGTGGTGTCCCGCCCCTAGACGCCATTTGCCTCCCCCCCAAACACACATGTGGCGCTAAAGGAATAAACTGCGGTCTGGCCTCTGTGGCCCTCGCCCAGCCCGGGCCTGTTTGGTGCTCTCCCGGCTCTACCCACGTAGCCGTGGCTTCAGCAGGCCTGCTCACGGGCCACGGCCTGGGGGTCCTGGGCCCTCCCCGGTGGTCAGCATCTGTACCTCCCAGTGGCTGCGGGTGGCTGTACTCAGTGTTCGCGACTCAGGTGACCACAGCCACCTGGACAGCGGGCCCCTTGGCGAGAAGGCCCCATCGCCCCTGCCTCGCTCTCCCTGCTCAGTCCAGCGCAAGGAGGCAGGGCCTGGGGTGGGCCCTGGGCGGGGGGCAGGCGGGGCCGGGGCCCTGGGGGTACAGCAATAGGGAGCGTGGCAGCTGACAGCCAGCCTTCTGAGTCTAATCTCTGCATCTGCCCTTGAACTCCAGTGTTATACTCAGATGTCCCGACCCTGCCTGTCTCTGCCTGCACAGGCCAACGGAACACCGTGTCCCCGGCCGCAGACCCCGCCCGGGGGACAGAGGCCAAGAGGAAGACACGAGAGGCCGAGCCACACTTTAGTTCCAACACCCTGGCGTCCGAGGCCCAGGTGTGCCGCCCTCCGGGGCGCTTCCCTCGAGGCCAGTCTGGACAGCGGCCCCCGCGTTTCCTGGGGTTCCCGTAGCAGGGCTCAGTCCTAGACAGAGTCACTTCCTCACCCCCACGTGCCACCCCCATTCTCCCGCCAGGGCTGCCTCCCGCTCTGACCCTCCCTCCCAGAAGGCCATGACGTTCCACAAGGCACCCCCCAAGGGAGGCATCCACCCTGAATGCCCCCCACTTAGGGGGAGCCTTTCCACAATCACAGCTGGATGGTGCACTGGCCCTACAGTCCCCTCCCACGTGCTGGGGCTGCCCACCTGCTTCCCTGCCCCCCCACACCCGCCGCCCCCTCGTCGAACCCTGCTATGGAAGAGAGGGCACGAGAAATCAAGTCCCCCTGCAGTTTTGGGACCAGAACATTCCCTGGGACTCTGCCCACATGACCTGGATGCCTTCAGCAGCCTCCCTGGCCAACTTCACCGACCCCCAAACACCAGGACGCCAGGGAGGCCCCAACCTCCCATGTGCCTTAGCCTCTCTGGCCTGCGGGTGAAACCCCCAGGCCCCTGTCAGAAATATGTATTTAAACGTACTGGGGCGCCTGGGGGGGCTCAGCCCGTTAAGCATCCGACTTTGGCTGAGATCATGATCTCACGGTTCGTGGGTTCGAGCCCCGCGTCGGGCTCTGTGCTGACAGCTCAGAACCTGGAGCTGCTTCGGATTCTGTGTCTCCCTCTCTCTCTGTCCCTCCCCTGTTCGCGCTCTCTTCCTCTCAAAAAGAAATAAACATTACAAAAAAATTATTTTAAATAAATAAGTAAATGTATCAAATACAACACTACAAATATCAAGGGGAGATCACTGTATGAAAGTACAGTTACCAAAATATCCTTGAAACAAATGGGTAGAGAGAGGTAGACTGTCCCTTAAGGTACTAATTGGGGGGGAGGGTCTCAGGCAGATGGGGGCACGATGAAAATCTCTAATGGGGTTCAGGATACTTGTGGCTTCTTGGTGAGGGTCCCAGGTGCTGCCAGCGCGACCCCCCACGTCACCCCCGCATCCATCTCTGGGTAGCTGGGTCCGGGTCAGAGCTATGAAGACAGGTAAGGGGGGTCCTACCCAGACTCAGGCCCTGACTCCCACCCACCAGCCCTGCGCACAGCCGGCCAGGAGCACCCGGCTTGAACCAGAAAGGAGCCCCAGACCGGGAGCCACCTGGACACAGGTGTTTGGTTCTGTGGGGACGTGAGCGGCAGCCTGTCACCAACGCCCGCTGTCCTCTCCCAGGGGCGACCCCCTCCCGACGTCGACACAGAAGGCCCCCCGCCTGCTGCACCTGGGCCGAAGCCCTTGGACCCAGCGCCCCAGCCCGGCCGCCTTCTGCCCGCGGAGCCCCAGCGGGCCCACAACCCCGGGGGCGCCCCAGACCTTCCCTGGGGCAGCCTGGGTGCGCGCTCACACACTCACGGGTGCCACACTCGCACACGCTCGCGGGCACACAGTCACGCTCGCGGGTGCACACACTCACGCTCGCGGGCACACAGTCACGCCCGCACACAGTCACGCTCCCGGGCACACAGTCACGCTCGCGGGTGCACACAGTCACGCCCGCACACAGTCACGCCTGCGGGCGCACAGTCACGCCCGCGGGTGCACACAGTCACGCTCGAGGGCACACAGTCACGCCCGCACACAGTC